TTGCGGAAGACCATAAATGTTTAAATGAATAATCAAGCCAAATATTATCTGTTGTGTTAGTTTTAACTTGCAAATGCTAATTGATGAGCTGTTGTATAAAAGCAATAACACACTGGAGGTAGTGTGGTTGTTGTGCAAAATATAACGGCTGTGATTATCTTTGTCACTCGGCCTGCAGCTTCGTGCCCACGACCATATCACAGCTGTGATATATTGGAGTATAACCGCACTCCTTCTCATATGTTATTGCTTAAATATGTGCATTATTATTCATTTGCTTATAACTTTAATATGATCACTTTTGCAGTGAATAGTATCCTATGACAACTTTATAAATTTCAGTAATATAATATTTTCTTTTTAAAATTTTAGGTGGAATCATCTAATTTGTGTTTGTCCCACAGCCAAACAACCACTGAAATAGCAAGAGAAAATGAGAGCATAGCAGGATGGTTAATATAAGTTTTGATGTTGTGTTGCATTATAGGTGGCATGTTGGTGCCGTGATTAATACTGTTGCCTCCCACCTCAGGGTTTGAGTCTCCACCCTGTTCTTCACTTATCATCATGGGGTTTTCTCTGGGTTCCCCAGTTTTCGCCTCAGTCCCCAAACATGCTTAGGTGAATTAGAGCTGCCATAGATGTGAATGGTGTGTGTGTCCTGTGATGGGTTGGTGCTTCAGCCTGGGTTATTTCCTGCAGTGTTTCTGGGATGGATGGTTTGTGTTATTGTGTGTCCATGGCATTGATATCTGTGTACGAATGTAATCAATTATACAGTCATTATGAATTTTACAACCTGCTACTTTAATAAGCCTGTAAAGGATCCACTTACAGAGTCTTGTTTTAGCAAAATGGTGGTTTATTGAATAGTAAAAATAATATAAACCAGTGTAGGATGGCATGCTGGTGCAGTGGTTAGCACTGCTGCCTCACAGCAAGAAGGTGTTGGGTTTGGTTCTGGGTCCTTTCTGTGTGGAGCTCGCACACTCTCCCTGTGTTTGCGTGGGTTTTCACTGAGGGCTCCAGTTTCCTTCTGTGGTCCAAAAGCATGCAGGATAGGTTGATCGGTGAGTCTAAATTGACCCAGTGAGTGTGTGCACCCTGCGACATGTTGGATTGATTCCAGCCTGTGCCCTTTGTTCCCAATATAGGCCCTGGTCCCCCCTGCAACCCCAGTTGGGATTAAGTGGTTTCAGAAGATGGATGGAACACGGTGTAGACATACACTGAGGAAAGGAAGCTCAAACACAAATAACGACAGTCCTTTATACCCCAAAAGGCCCTCCCCAACAAGGTTCTGTGTGTAGGTGTTGTGAGTGCATTTGCATATAAAGAGTGACCTCCTGGAGTGTGAGGGTCAGGACAGGGCGGAGTTTTTCCGTGAGAACAAATTGTAGCAAATGATTCCACTTTCAATTGAATTATCTTCCTTATCACCCTAGTGGTGCCAAATTATTATTATTATTATATCCTTTATTTAACCAGGAGAAGCCCATTGAGATTAAAAATCTCTTTTGCAAGGGAGACCTGGCCAAGATAGGCAGCTAAGTTACATCACAACAGAATGCCAGTACATACATACAAAAACAAAATAAAAACAAATAAATAAAGAAAGAAACAATTTGAACAAATGAAACCCCCATTCTCTCCCTGAATTCCCCCATGATCAGAAGTTGCTAACATTGTCTGTATTCAAATGATCAACTAAGAACATTGGGGCATCTTTACTCCTTTTCCTTACAAGCCCATAGTACATAAGACTTTTCATTGGCTGCTGTTGGAGTACGCCGTCTCCACCGGGTCAAGAGATTCACAGCTGACACGTGGAGAAGTTGCAGGTCACCAGTTTATTCCTTACACAGATCGATCTGGGAGCCACGCTCTGACATACATTCAGCATGTAGAAGAGGAAGCTCTGCCATATGTATCAGCTGTTTCCCTTTTAAAGCCCTTTGGGCATTTCCCCCCCTCTCTCGGTACCTTCCGTCTACGTGACAACCACATGTTTGACATTTGCTCTAGTTAGCCGGTTAGTACTTGTCCTTGTGGAAGGCTACAGATACGTAAGGGCCGCTGACGTTCTCTGTCGCTCCCTCTATCGGTCCCGATTAGGTAACCCTGCCCTGCCGGCGCCAGTCAGTTCTCGTTTCAGTTAACTGCATTTTTTAGAATGAACCCCCCCCCTTTCATCATGCCCTGCTTTAAGCTATATTCTCCTTTTCCTCTATTCATTGTATGTTCTTTATAATTCTATTGAATCCCACACTCCTCACTAAGGTTGAATACATGTAGTAGGAAGACAACACTCAAAACACCTATGCAATAATTTGCAATTTGCTCCTTGTTATTAAATATTATTATCAACAGTTGTGGAGGGTAACTTGTGTGTCCAAAGGAGACCCATACAAATGGCAGAACATTCAAGCTTCACAAATACAGAACTTGGGGCAGGAGCTAAACCCACAACATTGGAATCATGAGGCTACAGAAAATATTTTCACCTCTAAATGTTTATTATCTATTAAACTGAATCACACCAAGGAAAGCAGTGAGCACTGTCAGGCCTGAAATGCAGTTAGCAAATATCTGTTTCAGGATCAGCACAAATTAATATTTATCTTATGTAGGAATTAATAGCTCAAATAAATTTTAATATTCTCCACCAATATGTTTAAATTAATTAAAGTTTAATTAATTATTATTTAATGCTGATTATTAATCAATTGTTATGCCGAATGGTCGGCTCCTCCAAACTCAATTGCGGTATCCCTGTGAGTCTGTTAATGTGAGACTTAACTTAGTGTGAGTACTCAATGACGGAGGCTGAAGTTGTGTAAAAGAC